TTCATTCTGAACCATGAGCTCATTAATTTTATTTGTGTCAAAGTGAATATCAATATTCAAGCCTGAATATCAATATTCAGGCTACATATGACAATGGATAACAACCAATTTGTTTGAAAAGATACTCAATTTTGAGACGTAAGCTCAGAATTATTATGAATTACATACACTGAAAAGAGAAATAGGTAATATTTTGATAAAAATATTTTCAAAATACACATATATATTCAGAATAATATTGCATAAGCAATAGTTAAGATAGTCAGCCTTGTCACGAATATTTCATGTAACTTTCATATTAGAATAAACTTTTGCCTTAAGAACATCAGATATTTTATACGATGTCTCAATTTCAATGAAATGATATTCCCTAGCTTTTGAATCAGTGTTTGTTATTTAAAATAGTACCCAAATCCATGTGATGGAAAGATTATTTATATTTACTAAACATCATTAAAATCAGAAAATTATCACTTCAAATTTTTTTTATTATAATGGAAAATATCAAATATGTATAGAAGTACAGAGAATTGCATAATGAATGACAATACTTGCACATTCAGCTGGTTTCCTAGAACCAGGAGGAAAAGAAAGCAACAGAGAAAAATGGAAAGGAATGGGTCTCGTCTAACACGAACTAGGCAGTGTGTCTTCATTTAGTCTCTGCAACAACTCTATGGGATAAGCATTATTATCTCTAGTTTAGAGATAAAGAAATTGAACTTATGAGATTGAGGATCTCCTTAGAAGTTTATAACTAGAGCCACATTTGAACTGGATCTGAGTGATAACCCGGGACCACGTTCTCTCCATTACTATATTTTATAATGTATGAACCACCAGACTAGATGTTCCCGAATTTGTGAAGAGGAACTACTTTCTGGGTTTTTGTTTTGTTCTGAGACCTCATGATAGTGGAAGGAGGGGCTAGGAGAAACGGGTTAAACCTGATATGGATGAAAGTGAGAAGAAGGGCAGCTGACGTTCTTGACTGAGGAATAAAGTAAGCAGAAGGTAGCTGCTTGCCAAGTGAAAGAAGCAATGGACCAGAGCGGGCTTTGGGGTGCACCAGTTAATTACGCTGGTGTGTTGGGAACTGCTACTGTGGTTGGATGGAGATCTCTGGAGCCCTTTCCTGTTCCCTTATACTAAGGAGTAGAGATTTTATAATATTAGATAAAGAAATTTTACTTTTTTATTCCTAAAAAAAGTAGGGGGGGGGATATGTTGGTCTGTCATTCTATTTCTATTCAAATGAAGATGTATTTTTATCTGGAATGTATGTCTAACTGTCTTGGAATTAGACTCTCCAGGGTCAAATTATCTCCACACAGCAGACAAGCAAATTCCCAGGATACCTGGCAATGTTTGGGGTAGGCTGTTACTGCTTCCTGTCCTAGAGAAGAGGACACTTTGGCTCTAGCCCCAACTCTGCAACTGGCAGGTCACCTCACCTCTCTGGGCCTCTGTTTTTCCTCCTCTGAAAAGTAAGGAGGCTGAGCTGGACAATTCTAGACTCCCATCCAGTCTTCCATGAGAAGAACAGAAATTACAGTTTGTCCCTTAAGCCCTCTAGGGGTAAAAAACCAAAAACAGTTATCTTCCATGGTAAAAGTCTGTCTGCTATATAAATTATAGTGTTCCAAAGATTTAAAGTCCACCTATCTGTAGACTGGCTAAGAAGCAGGTCAGGTGGCATTCCCATACACTTATTTGACTGTGTTTTAGCATTGTTAGGAAATTTTTCTGTAGTGTGAAACTTTGCCAGGAATTAATTCAATTTTATTTTTATATCTCATATTGAAATTTAAAGTAAATATAATAACTTGTTTTGGACATCCTATTTAGGTGGCTTTTTCTTTCTTTCTTTTTTTTTTTTTTTGTTTTAAACAAAACTAAATGTTAGAATATTGAGGTACTTTTTAAACCACAAATAATTTTGTCAAACACTCCAAAAATTACATTCCGCCCTCAAAGTTTATTTTAGGGATTATTTCTTGATATGTGATATCAAATAGATGAAAATTTAAGTGTTATTTCAGTTATTCAATGTAAACACCTTAATGATGAACACATACTAACTGGAAACATCTTGCTGTAGTCTTATCTTATGCTTTTCTACTGCATAAGGTTCATAAGTTCATGAATGAGTAGGTAATCTTGGTAAGGAAATAAAAAGTCTTAATTTTAAGAAAATAGAGATTTGTCTTCTTTTGGAGTTGTTGCTTGCTCAGCAGATATGTGTTGAGTTCCTGCTAATTTGACAAGCACTGGACTCCCTTGCTGAGGTTACAAAGATGAGTAAGATATGCTCCGTGGCCCTGGAAAATCGAAAGCTGGTAGAAGATGCTTGTGTTTTATCTGGAAAAAGAGAACTTATAGAGGCCTTTGTTCTGCAATATGACCTCATTTCAACCTTTGAGGTGGTATTATTATTTTCTTTATTTTACACACGAGAAAACTTGAGTCTCATGGAGGTTAGATTATAATGATCAACTTGAGTCTCATGGAGGTTATCAGTTGCTCAGTATTTGTCGTCCCATTAAACAGGTACTGGGACTATGTTTATATTTTTGACTCTATAGGACCAGTGCTAGTATAGTACCTAGCACACAATAATAGGTGCTCAATACAAATTTGGTGGATTAATAAATATTGGAGTATTAGTGGATCCAACAAATATTGAGTCACAAATAAGAATTTGTAGCATTAGTCTTGTTACCCTTTGAGCATGTAGTCTTTCACTATGCCTTATTGCCTCTGTAATTATTCCTGTTTAGTATTAACAGGATGGATGCTTGAGTTATGGAAAAAGAATTATGTACTGGTACTGCATAATTTTTTAATAATGGAAGAGATTACCTTTGAAAAGTAGGTGCTGAACACCCTTGCAAAAACATTAGGATAAATTTCCCAGATCTCAGATACCCTGATACTCAATCACCAAAGCATTCTTTTATTTACAAAGAAACAATTTTGTAATATGTGTCAAGCTTTCCCATTATTTAATAGTTTGGAATCATTTAAAATTATCCATTAGAAGTGATAGCAGCAAGTTTGAGGGTCTAGAAATACGTTGTATACTGTGTCAGTAATTTGTATGATGTTTATGAAGCTCAGTGTGGCTGATGTGAAGAGACAGAGTTATGAGCACTTCAGAATATAAGAATGGAATTCAAAATGACCCTGGAAAAATTGAGAAGTGTTAATCCTAAATAGGAACACATGGAGGAGAAAAGACAAGTGTACGATAACTGCAATATGCAACTGTGGCAGGAAGGAACTTAGAATACCAAATTTCCAAACTCAGGAGTCACAAAGTAATTATTGTATTACATTCTTCAGACTATTGCTGGAATACTTGGGTCAGTCTAAGGCCTACCAGTTTAAGAGATTTGCAACAAATTTGATGATATTTAGAGGATATAGAAAATAGTTGAAGGTTAGCAATCTCAGAACATGATAACAAAGAAAATAAGTTGAATTTTAGTCAGGTAATGTCTCCAGTTTTTACCTCTCATATTCTCAAAAGCTACTCAAGGATGTACTCCATCAAAATGAGGAAATGAAGCAAGACAGAGGAAGACAATGAATACCAGAGACAGGCAAAGGCAGTTCTCAGGCATAAGGAAGGGAGAGCCTGAGTGGTGAGTGTGCATCTGGTATCTGGGGCCATCTGTTCAGTCAATGCATATTTTGAGGTGTGGGGAATGATTTTTTTTTCTAGAAGAGGAAAATGAAAGAATTCTTGATGTGTTTTCATATTTTAAGAAGAAGAGTATGGTGGCATACACTTGTAATCCTAGCTACTTGGGAGGCTGAGATAGGAGGATCACTTCGGTCCTAGAGTTCAAGGCCACAGTGTGCTATGGCTGCACCTGTGAATAGCTGAATAGCCACTGCCCTCCAACCTGGCCAATATAGTGTGACCCTGTCTCCAAAAAAAAGAGAAAGAAAGAAAAAGATTAAACAGTTTATGAAGAGTTTGGGATTAAATTAGTGATTGCACACAGAGTATTTGGCAAAGCAAACAAAAACCAACTCTAGGGAAACAAAAGTTTGAGCCAAAAGAAAAAGAAGAAGAATTATAGTAGCTATACTACAGAGCTTAGCTATAAATAACACTTGTATACTTATAATATACATATTAAGCATTAATCTAATCACAATTATGGTAGTTTGGGGTGATAAAGAGATGGGAAGGGTGTATGTGTGAGATGGGGAGGGAAAGGATAGTGAAAGAAAGCTATGTTCTAATGTTCCCCAGTGAGAAGTCATGGAAAATGCCTACATTAAAAATCGAATTAGCAACATAAGCAGATATATCATAAAAAGTTGTGGAAGTAAACACCAAAAAGACCAATCAAACAATCAAGCGAAACCATATCCCTAAAAATGTTGAATGTGGTTGCCTTTGGAGTGGTGAGAAATGCACCTGGAGGAAGCACAAGGGATCACGATTTTTCACATCAAACCTTGTAACTGAATCCTTATGTGCCTGTATAACTTTGATTAAGACAAACAAAAAGAAATCAAATTATTTAACTATACAAAAATATAGTCAAGGGGTGACCTAATAATTTCCAAATGTGAGGAAATTTGTCTTTTCTCAGGGTGATGACAACTACTTGTATTTGTAAAGTCAAGATTTCAGTTCGGGCCCGGGCGCGGTGGCTCACGCCTGTAATCCTAGCACTCTGGGAGGCCGAGGCGGGTGGATTGCTCAAGTCAGGAGTTTGAAACCAGCCTGAGCAAGAGCAAGACCCCGTCTCTACTATAAATAGAAAGAAATTAATTGGCCAACTAAAAATATGTAGAAAAAAATTAGCCGGGCATGGTGGTGCATGCCTGTAGTCCCAGCTACTTGGGAGGCTGAGGCAGAAGGATTGCTTGAGCCCAGGAGTTTGAGGTTGCTGTGAGCTAGGCTGACGCCACCGCACTCTAGCCGGGGCAACAAGAGGGAGTCTCTGTCTCAAAAAAAAAAAAAACACAAACAAACAACAAAAAAACCCATTTCAGTTCGATGCTGTGTTCTGATAAGGATTGTTGTACTGGAGTTTCTAAGCAGTTGAGGCATTTCCTTTCCTGGAACTGTGTGGGACCAGCAATCCACATTCAGCATTCTGGCCTGGTTTATGTGCAGTTATGGAGTAAGGCCATAGCCTTTACCTGGCTCATCTTCTGGATTCCTTTTAACTCTGTGGGCCTCTGGCAGAGGTGCGGTGAAGGACAGGGCACTGATGCCTGCTCAATCAAATGCATTTATGTGACCTCAGAACAGTTACCTAACTTTTCTTAATCAATCTTCATTTCCTCATCTGTAAAATGGGGCTATGTGATATCTACTTCATAGCAGTACTGAGTAAATGAAATTTTATTTATGAAGTACTTGGCAGATGCTTCATAATATCAGGTTTTTCCTCTCTGAGGTGGTAATCTCACAGTTTCAGAGCAGTAATCATTTGAATCATATTATGATGATGTCTAATACAATCAGAGAAAGAATTAAAAAATACATGTAGAATAGAGAATTAGTCTAATACAATGAGGTAGATAATTAAAATATATATTTAAATATCTATTTGTTTCACCTTTTACAGGATGCAAAATAACCTAATTTTCCTATCCTAGATAGATATGCTTTAAAAATAATTGACTCGATCAAATTAGATAGCTATTTTGATGTCCTGTAGACACAACTTGACTGTTGTTATGTTGACCTAATACTGTGAGAAGACTTCAGAAATGCCCAAGGCCTATAGGTGATGGAATAGTCAAAACATGCCCTATCCAACCAGTCTCCCAAATTGCTACATAGCCCCTTGAGACCCTGTGAATCATAGTTTATAAACAACTATTCATAGATACAGGCATTCCCCTAGGGTATTATTTGTGTGGGGCTGCTAAAGAACAACTTTAATTTTTTTCTTTTTCTTTCTTTTTTTGCTTTGCTAAGTATTAACCTGGCTCACAGAAATGGAGAAGGGGGAGAGAAGAATCCATTTAGGTAGAGAGGCTAAAAAGGCCCTTTGTATAGAGAGGATGGCAAAGAAAAGTCCCTAAGGAACAAGGACTATGTGGTCCTACGTTCCTCCATAATCCAAGTGCCAAGGCTTGATGTCAAGAATAAATGATCCTGGTTGATGAAGAGCAACCTGCCACTTCTTGGCTTTATGATACTTCCTAAAATGGATTTCAGGATCTAAGATCAGAAAACTATGTTACTACCTCTCAAATCCGCTCAGGTATTAGCAGTGTAGTGCCTATAACAGGAAATGCCTATTTTCACACTGAAATTCTTTAATTTGATAAAAACATTTTCATTTTATCCATTTTTAGAAAAGCAGCCAGTGAACATTTTTAATTTTCCACAGTTGGCTTATAGTGAAATAGATTTCTCAGCCTTAATCTAGATGAAATAACATTAAGTGTCTACTTTGTATCAATCCATTTTCTCTACCTCAAACATGAACAAAAATTCTTTCAATAATTCATCAGTAGAACTCATTAGTTCCTTGAATTGAGTACCTGCTGGACTCTGGGGATGCCAAGATGACTATGACAGGGAGGCTGCCCTGGAGGAGCTCATTTTTAGTTAGGGAGGATACTGGAGAGAGGGGGACCAGATTTGGAGACAATGATGATAAAAATGACAATAAAAGTATGTACAAAGGTTAAGATAACACAAAAGCTAGAATGGCCAACCTAGGAGCTTTCCAAAAAGGCTTCCATAGAAGAGGTGAAGTTTTAGTTTAATCTCAAAGAGTGAGAGTTTACCAGTCAGGAAAAGGAGACCTTGAAGATCTTTGCGAAGAAAAGCAAAGGAACAGAGTTTAGAACCAAATGCGTTTGGGGACTAGCAGGAAGCTCCAGGTAGTTAGGGTAAGGAGTGAATGTGGGGAGATAATAGGAGAAAAGAAACAAGAAACAAAGGGTGAAGCATTCCATAGAATAGTAGCAGGAGCCACAGGCTCTAAGATGTGTTGTCAAGGGAACACTGTTGACAGTGAGGATGGGCTGGAGTGAGATGAGAGACTAGTTAGGAGTAGTCCAGGTAAGAGACATGGAGGTCCTGAATTATGGCAATAAACATGCCAAGGAAGGATGACAAATAATTATAAATCACTTAAAAATGTAAACTACTATGTAAAAATCATAAAAAGATATTAATAATTGATGTTAATTATCTGCCCTACCTTAGAGTCTGTTGTGACAACCACCCCAGTTTAATAAATACTTCCCTGTGGCCAAGCTAATGCACAGTGCCATCTATGGTAGGTATGTGCTGCTATCACTCAGTCCTCTTGTGACTTCCCAGGATTTATTACAAAGGCTATTTGTGGAACAAGCTCATTTTAGCCTTTTTAAACATCATAAAATAAACTTAGATTGTGCATTTTATTTTAAGTATCCTGCAGAAGACAATTAACTTTGCTTCTAGCACGAAAGATAATGTCAATATATCTTTTGGGGAATTGATAAAATGTTGAAATTTAAGGATGTGGCTAAAGATGCCTGTGTTTTTATAGGCTTTCACTTAGATGAATGAATTGATGACTTTGCCACAGCATTTTCAGCATTCCAGGATTGTGATAAAATGGAATCCAGTTCAAGTTTCTTTTAACCTTCATTTTTAGGAGCTTATGATTACATGTGTAAACATTTATAAATATACATGCTTGAATTTGACAATGATTTAACATTTTGACCAAATAGCTATGCTAAATCCATCCATGAGACAGCTGAGGAAATCATTTCTAGAAGAACTTTTGCTGTTCTTCAGTGTTCTTCAGGCAGGAAACCACAGGAAACAATGTATTGTGGTGCATATTTCCCTGCAGGATTTGGTGTGTCATTCATTGTGTAGAATTTTGCTTTCCAGCTGCCTGCAGTTTACATTTTTGGACTGGCTTTTCCCTCCAGGATAATTTGATGAAGTCAGTTCCTCAGATATCATAAAATGTATTTCTATTTTTTAAAGATCAGATTTGTTATTTTTCCCAATTGAGAGATAAACATGATAAAAAAGAAAACATTTAAGTAGCCAGAATTAATTATTTTGACATATGAAATAACATATGATTGCAATATGAAATAGTCATTAGATCATTTTAATAATCTAATAGGATAAGTGCTTTTGCTTGAGTGAAAATGAAGTCTGTCAAAATTTTGGATCAGTGTAAGATATAGTAAGTTAGAACCTGGAATATGGAAATGAAAACCATCCTTTTCTGAGAGAACCTCACTATTCTTTTGTTAGGTATGATTTTTACTTTAAAGTTTTTGCATCCTTTTTACTCTCGCACTTTCCTGCACCCTTTCTTTATAAGAGAGTAAAACATTTTCTCCGCTTTTAGATGAGAAAGTAGTAGGATAAAATGCTTTTAAGTCAGAACTAATATTCTCACGTTAAGCAACTGATTATTTTTAGACACCCATACCAGTGGTTTTTCAACTCTGCCTGCACATTAGAATCACCCGGGGAACTTTTAAAAAAGTGCCAATGCACAGACTTCACCGCAGAATTACTGATTTGATTGGTACAAGGTGGGGCCTGAATGTTCACATTTCTTAAAACCTCCTTCCCAGGCTGAGACCACTCACCTCTACTCTCCTTTGCACAGGTTTCCCCAGGCTCTTTCTTTGTCAACCTGCCAAACCTGACTTCCCTGTCACCCATTTAAAGACTATTCTTGCGATAAACTGTAACAAACAAACTCTGTGGTCTCCAAAGTGAAGGGCCCAAAGTGATCTATTAGGGTGTGGGAAAAATATGAGAACTTTATTTCTAATTTTTAATCTTATCTGTAAATGATATCCGTTTTAAAATATCTTATGGTACACATATTAATACAACAGATTTGGAGAAAGTGTAGACAGAACAGAAAACATCCTTTTCCCCGTAAAATAGGTCCCCTAATTCTCTGCTTTCAGTGACAGCAGCTCCAAGGTTGGCTTTTTGACTTCTACTGATTGCTGCAGACTTTTCTAGAGCCAAGTATGGAGTCCTACAAGATGCTTGTCCTCCACTCCACAGCCTTATTCTGTGGCTACTAATCATGGGATACAGCCTCTCTTGCTGGGTCTTTGCCCTACCCAGGATTCCTGATACAGCTTCATCTCCTGGTCCCTTCTCTTGGTAAAATTTCTTCTCACCCATTTAAGGTCTTCTAAAATGCACAAGCAATTTGGATACAGTAACAGGAGAGGCTTTAATGTAGAAATGCCTTCAAAATATTCCCCGACGTTTGATGATAGTAAGACATCGCTTTTTAGGTATAATGATATTATGGTTATTTTGTAAAAATATAAAAGGAATTATTATCTTTTAGAGACTATGATGTTGTGAAATATATGTCTAGTCTTTGTCCCCATTTCCTGGTATACAACTAAAATGTTTGGAATCTTCAAAGTAATGTGTCTTTTTATGCTAATGAGTTGACAGAGGGCTTGGCAGGCCTTTGGTAGCTTCAGGATGGGGACTGGTCAAGGGAAAAATCAAAGCATGATTAGAGGGTTGGGACTTTTCAGCCCTATCCCCCAACCTCTGGGGAGGGGAGGGGGGCTGAAGGTTAAATTGATCACCAATGGCCAAAGATTTAATCATTCACACCTATGTAATGAAGCCTTCATAAAAACCCAGAAGGAAAGGGTTTGGGACAGCTTTTGGATAGCTGAACACACAGAGGTCCCTGGAGGGTGGTGTGCCCAGAGAGGGTGTGGAGACCTGCACCCCTTCCCACATGCCCTTCTCTATGTATCTCTTCATCTGTATCCTTTGTAACATCCTTTACAATTTACAACTGGTAAATGTAATTTATTACTTATTTTCCCTGAGTTCTATGAGGCGCTCTAGCAAATTAATCAAGCCCAGGGATGGGGTCATGGGGACCTCGATTTATAGCCAGTCAGTCAGAAACACAGGTGAAAGACCTGCGGCTGGCAATTGGTATCGGAAGTTGGGAAAGGGGGTAAGTCTTGGGGACCAAGCCCTCAGCCTGTGGGATCTGATGCTATCTCCAGGTAGATACTGTCAGAATTGACTGGAATTGGAGGACACACATCTGATGTCAAAAATGTGCTGTGAGAGAAGAGTAGGAGAAACTGAGTTTATTTATCCCTGTATCCTCAGAGAGATGCATAATATATACTGTAATATTTATGGATGGAATGATACAGTATCTGGAATGTGCTTTAGACTAACATGAGAATATATCTAATTCCAATAATTAAAAAAAAACCTAATATGAGGCCGGGCACAGTGGCTCACGCCTGTAATCCTAGCACTCTGGGAGGCTGAGAGGGGCGGATTGCTCAAGGGCAGGAGTTCGAAACCAGCCTGAGCAAGAGCGAGACCCCATCTCTACTAAAAATAGAAATAAATTAATTGACCAACTAAAATACATATACAAAAAATTAGCCGGGCATGGTGGCACATGCCTGTAAGCCCAGCTACTCAGGAGGCTGAGGCAGTAGGATTGCTTGAGCCCAGGAGATTGAGGTTGCTGTGAGCTAGGACACCATGGCACTCTAGCCTGGGGAACAAAGTGAGACCCTGTCTCAAAACAAAACAAAAACAAAACCAAAAAAACTCCACAAAAACCTAATATGAGAAGGAAGAAAATAGATGTGGTTGAATGGCATATTGACCAAGATTTGACAATGTTTAGATCAGAGTACTGGGTAAACGAAGGTCGTTATATTCTGCTTACTTTTTTGTATGTTTGATTTTTCATAATAAAAAGTTTTTAAGAATCTTTTAGAGCATTTGTGATAAATTTATTTTTTTTTTTTTAAAAAAACAAACCTCCCAGCCCAATATAGTAATGGCACCTAAACCACAACTATTGGGCCTGAACAATGTGTGAATCTATTTCAGATATGAGCTTTAGATTGAAGTGAGTTCCGGTACTCTGAGAATGATTTCCTCCTACCCCTCAAACATTAACCACTTTCCTTTTCTTTTTTTTTTTCTTTTCTCTTTTGTCCCTGTGCCTATCTCTCAACCTACCTACAATCGCTTTCCTTATAGTTAGCATTCTTTCTCCTAGCTTGTGTCTTTCATTTGCCTTTATGGTTTTCTTACCAAGTCATTTTGTTCTCTGCCTCACCCCAAATCCTCCTCAGACATCAAATGGTCAAATCTAGTCAGCACCCTCAGGACATTTTCTCACCCCACCACCCATCTGCCTCAGCAGGGCTGTTGGGGGGAGGATGGCCCCCTTCGCCAGCAGCACCAGAAAAGCAGCTTCCACATGTCATTTGTCAGCGACCTCCTGGCTCTGGCCTGAGGTCTCCTCCTAGGTGCTCTGGGTCTTCCAACCTCATATCACAATCCTCCCTAAGGGGATTTCAGATATTTACAGATTGGGAGGAGGTGACCTTTCTGCTCTCCTCTGTCCTGGCCCAGTGGAAACCCCCCCCCCCCATCCCCTACCCCTACCTTCCTGGTCCTGTTAAATGGAAAGTCTAGATGCAGGTTTCAGAGTTTCTGTTGGGGGGACTTTCTAGGATGTCTATTAATTTTGGAGTTTTTCTACCCCCTTTTAAGTATACAAGTTGCTCTGAAAGTCCCTAAAGCATTTAGCATTATAGCTATAATTAATCTGTGATATTTGGAGAATTTCAGGGTTTTCAAATTACTTGGAAATACATTATCTTGTTTGTGCAATTTTTTTATTCTTCTGTAACACGGGTAGCACCTGGTTTGCTCTTTCTGTGACTATAGGTGAGAAGGGCTACTCTTTTTCACTGTGATCGAAACAAACTCCATTTCACTGTTCGAATTTAGGTTTTTTCCTAACAACTTTCTGGTCCCCCATCCCTAGCATGGCTATTAGATGTTGCATCACCACTTCCCTTTCCCCTACTGCTCTGTGACCTACCACGTGAACGAGAGAAAAGTGTCAGTCAGTGTGGACAAGCTCACATCACAGTGTTGGCAGCTGCATTCGTTTTGACCTATAGTTAGGCCTGGGCTGGGGAGCTGAGGGGGAGGGGCTGGAGCTGGGGAGGGGAGAAGAAACAGATAATTGTTCACTTTCCCTTCTCTCT